CCCCCCCCCCCCCCCCCCGCCAACAAGCTGCCACCACCTCTGATTTCAAGCCCCCTACCGAAGCCGGCCTCGCTGCCACCTCCTGCCCCAGCCCCACGCACCCACGCAGCCCACACTTCCCCCCTCACATCTTCCAGGCCAAAGGCCACGTCGTGACTATTGCAACTGGCCTCAGGCAGCCGGGGGTTGGGGGGGTGCTTGGGGTCCCTGGAAACATCCTCTGCTTTGTAACTCCATGGGCCTCCCCTCGGATGACTCCTCTACCCACCCCGACGGCAGCGCTGCAGCTGTGGGCACAGAGCCCGGGAGGAGCCCCGGGGAGAGGGGGGCCTCGGGAACAGAGAGACACCAGGTCTTCACCCCCATCTCAGCCTGAGAAGCTCCACATGCTCTAAGGCTCTGCGGCGGGTTGAACTTAGTCCCCCCCAAACGATACGTCCCAGTCCTCACCCCCAAAACCTGTGCAGGTGACCTTCCTTGGGAAGAGGCTCTTTGCAGATGTCATTAACATTAAGTAAGGATTCGAGATGCCATCATCCCGGGCTCTAAATCCTATAGGTCTCTTACAGGAGAGAAGAGGGGGACTTGGGGCACAGGAGACACAGTGGAGGCCGTGAGAGGCCGGCAGAGGCCGGGGTGATGCCCAGGGTTGCCCGGTGCCAGCAGCAGCTGGGAGAAGCAGGAAGGATTCTTCTCTTGAGCCTTTGTAACGTGTGTGATGCTGCCAACACCTTGACTTTGGACTTCTGGCCCCCAGAAACGTGAGAGAATAAAATTCTGTGGCTTGAGCCCCACAGTCTGTGGTAAATTGTTATGGCAGCCCCCGGAAGTCATTCCGGGATGCCCCAGAAGTCACCCCAGAACCCGCTGAAAGGGTGAGAGACCCCTGGGCTGCATGACTCTGTCTGTGATGTCCCAATGCTGCCACCACCCCATCCCCTCTCTGGGGACCCGGGAGAAAAAACCACCTCCTTTTCCCTCCCCTGGAACCTCACAAAAACCCCAGAGGGTGGGAGAAGCCGTCGGGAGGGTCCCTGCTCTAGATTTACATCACAACGTTCGTTCGGCAATGAAACAAGATCATTTTTTAAGGCAGACTTTGCAAGGGACGCCCTGGAGGAAAGCCGCCTCCCCCACGGAGGATGTCATGATGCAAACGGCCCCCGGCGCCCCAGCGGGGGGATAATCAGGAAGACAGGCTGTCAGGAAGCTTCTCCCAGGGCAGTGCTAAGAACACACCCGGGGACCGGGAAACATGCGCAGCTGCCATCCTTGAAAACATGCTTCACCGACTCCCAGGGGGGACGGGCGTCACCTGACCCCACGGCAGGGGCCTCTCACCTTCCCCACCTCCCCTCTCCCTGCAGCCGCGGCTGCCTGCCCATAAGCGGCCACAGAAACCGACAAGAGTGCTCACAAGCTGGTCAATTTGCAGATCTGAGGCTCTGCGTGATCGTACGTCAGATCTGATGACTGGGCAGAAAAGGGGCCTTTGCCGGCCCCACAGGGAGGAGTGGGGGGCGGCACCGGGCTGCCTCCTCTGTCCGCAGGAGGTCACTGGATTCAGAGGGCACCTAAGACACGATTTACCATGTCAGCTGGACATGACACATCGTCAGAGCATTGGACAGGACGGGGCCGTCGTCTGGTGGGGAGACAAGCCATCCCCATGGACACGAGGTGCCCCTGCTCTGCTTACGTGGTTTCCAAGATCGGCCCCCTTCTCCTCTGCACCCAAGTCCCCCCACAGCCGGGCTCAAACCTCACCTGCTCCCAAAGGCCCTCCTCGGCCTCGCCCCCACCCCCCAACAGGCGCCAGGGAGCCTGGAAACTGTTTGTGCGCCTTCCCCCTCCCGCTGCTGGGAGTGTATCCCAAGGAAATAATCAGAAGTACCGAGGACTGACGAATGGGGACGTTTGCATCAGCGTTAAAATAGCAAACTCTGGAAACAATTCCGGTTTACATAGATTTTCTAAACCCAGATGCTGAAGTCCTGCACAGTCATCAAAATCATGGTTTTGAAGATGGGAAATGCTGAGAATATGAAGCAAAAATAGCAGGATCCAAGAGGCATGCAAAGAGATTCTGACCGGGCCTCACACGCACATG